TACACTCTTGACCTATTTTTGACTCGACCCGTTGTAAATTTGCAGATAACTTATGGAATTGTATTTATTGTATTCCATTCGATTTGAGACTGTATTGCTATTTTGTAATGCTGACTTGTTATTTATATATTTCTAATTACAATACACTGCTACTAACTGCAATAGAAACAGGACTCACCGGCGATGGGGGAAAAGCTTCTTTTCTTTCGTCTTTGTTATATTCAGGCGGCTTTCTCACTTTTTGCGGGAAATGATGGGGTTTGTTAGTTTGCAGATTCCTTATGGACCGTACTAATGTCCTTTGCCCAGGCTGGACAAGTTAACTCATTTTGCTGTCACCTACTCTCTGGTTGATGATCGTTTGCACTAAAAAGCACCTTGTTAAATCCTGACTATTCTCTTTCGTGTCAGTGCAGCATTATAAGTTTCATAAAAACTTTTCTGAAACGTTTTCCTGATTCAGACTGAACAAGTGGAAAAATGCAAACGGGTGTGTAACGGAAAGATAGAGCTGATGAGGGATGGGTAACGCCTGGACATAGGTGCAGGTTTCATGGGTAGCGGATGAATTGGTTAACGGAAATATGGCCCGTAAAAGGCCCTACTGTTATCTCAATAACTAAGTGCGCTGCGACAATGCGGAAAGTGGCGCCTAAAAACTCTTCAAGAAGTGTAACGAACGGACACAAGAGGACATGAGCAGGTGCGATCTGGGATGTGATGTGATGTCAAGCAAAACGAATGAATGCTCTTCTTGGGCTGGCCAATTCAGTTACATCAATAACTTAAGAGGCCATGACAGCGGGGGAAAAAGCTTAAATAAGGCCTCCCAAGCTGCAAGATATGCTTCCGTGCGCTACAAAGGCCTTCCAAAGCTCCACGATATTTGACAATTAATCCTCGGACGGAATCACTTTTATACCAGCGCCCAACGAGGAAGCGCAGGAGTGGGAGACTTGGCCCTTAACTAGAGACTAGACCCGTTACTGACTTCTGACACTACGGCTGACAATGCACGAATAAAGAAGATGTTTAACTAGATATCAAACTAGATGGTGGACTAAATATCAAACTGGATGTTAAAATATATATGACCTAGATGTGATGCTAAAGTAGATGTTGCTCATGGCAAAAATTATCTTGAGATTTTCGTATCTTACTGCCATAAACCAATATTCCACTTTTCAGGTCCACGGGAATGGCCTAAAGAGGGCAAATGCAATATGACACTATGATATGATACTATGATAATGATATCCACTATGATAAAATTGTGAATGAAATGCCCTTGCCAGCATATCTTGCAACCTAAAACAAAAACTATTCTGGGAGTACCAGTGTGTTAATAGCAGTCTAACCGTTCTGAAATTTCATGCTTTTAGGGTCTGTGTCCACGGAATGACATCCCAGATCACGCAGATATTACTGCAGCAGAAAATATCCATTGACGTGCATGATATATAGCCCAGGTGCCGCCAATTTAAATTCTGAACAAGGTGGGGTGACGGTAGAGAATGCAACAATCAGCATCGAAGCTCTCCAATTGCACTTTTCGGTTATGTTGAACTATGGCAACTGAGGTCGAGCCAGGTCATTGGGGTCATGCATGCTTGTATTGATATACAATGCAACGTTCGTATACAGTGCAAACGTAATACAGTATGAAACGTACATACAACAACGAATACAGTACGACGTCCATGGGATAAACGTAAGTTAAGTTTGTTGACACGTTCAGTTCGAGTCATTGGAGTCTATACATATGATCTTTGGCAGGTCAAGTGAAAATTTACCCGCAGCGGGTGCGGCTGCATCAGCGAGTGGATCTAACGATCGCGCGAGGCGGGGCCGACACTGTTCATGAACGAAGCTCTATATATTTATCATATGATCAAGAACACGCCAGACTACAGATCATGTGCTTGGAATTAGACAAGGAACCCGCCATGAAATTACATGCTGCTGAGTGACATAGTTTCAAATATATTGGCATGTTAGGCTGAAATAGTGTGATTTTCAGGAAAACTAAATTACTTTAACAACATAATGACGTCAAGTATTGACCTACCAGCATGAAACGTATTACCAATCGCACAATTTGGTTGACCTGCTATTTCTTTCGCGAGAGGCTCTCTCTTTCTTAGTACAGTTCTAAGCGAAAAAGATCCGTACATGGCATACATAAAAATTGACCTTTCCTAGTTTGAAGTTTACAAACGACAGAGGTTCTCACATCACCAATCCACCCCCCCCCCCCCAGAAATAACGTCGAATTAGAGCGAGGTTTTAAGTCCGTCTTTAAGGGCGCGCCTCGCACGACCTCTAATATCAGTAGGCAATGAGTTAAATGAAGGCTGTATTTACATATTCGAGGCAGACAGAGGTTTTTGTTCCACGGCGTTCTCTTCCGCTTACGCTTTGCGTTCTCTCCGCTGGCCCTGGTGCCGTCAACTGTTTGGCTATGACTCTGAGCTGTTCAGCTGTCAAAATGATTTGAGGTAGGCAAAGCGTAGGGCACGCCGCAATTTCACGGACGGGCACCAGCCTGAGCACTGAACCACAGGCACCTGAGCACGCATCGCTAACATGCAGATAGTTTCTCAAAACATTTATGCTCAGCGTAAAATCATTGCGCTTTGGCTTAGAGAAATGGCCAATGGTGATGTTTTGGCCGCCCTGTGGCGACGCGTGCACATACGGTGATAACCTTTTCAGAGCGTTCCATGGACCTGGAGCTGCAGCTTCCATAGATGCTGATGCAGCACATCACCGATGAAAATATTAATGCGTCATCTATTGCTAGGAATTTGTTCCGGGAGACAGATGGTTTGCGTCAATGAGACAGCTCTCAGGTAGCGGTTTTTAGCCGCTCGCGCGATGGTTGTAATAGAGGTGACCTCGCTCGTGCCAGCCTTTGTCGCAAGACAAGTAAAGATAACTAAATCTTCTAAGTCTGCAGCTGCTATTGGTCGGCATATCACTCGCAACAGCATCCAGTCCACTCCAGAATCTACATGTACAACCAACAGCAGTCTAGTGCTTTAGGGAATTTCACATCTACTTAGCATAACGGCAACAGCTGGCTCACCTTATATTGTTTTAGACGGAAACGGCCACGATCACGTGGTACGGAAATTATATGATATTGCATTAGGGTTAGCCAATGAAAGACGCATCACGCGTACACCGTACATCGTACAATGGGCGGGACCAGCATGCTAAACCAATCCCAGAGAGCGGCATTACCTTGCGGTTTCTGGACCTGTCTGATGCAAGGGTTGCCTGGCTAGGTGCCGAGTGACTTTTAAGAAGCAAATCCTCGTTATTCGACTTATCTGCAGACCCTGTCTCACTTTGGTCACTCGTATTTAGTCAGCACCCTGGACCAGCCAACTCACGACCGCACCTGGCCGTTCCTGCCCCCCCCCCCCCCCCTTAGTGTGCGGTCGCTCTGGCCCGCGGCCAGACCGCGGCCTGGTCACGTGGTCAACGCCCCGGAGGCACGAACACAGCCGGCCGTGCCGGTTAAACGCGGACCGGACAGGATGAATCCCGACGCGGTAACCCACCGCCAATAGCCTGCTACACATCGAAGCAAACGGCCAGCACCGCAGCAGCCACTTCTGTCCATGCTATGCACGGTCGCACACAACTCGCTTGAAGTGACTGGTCGGACACGAGACTCGGTCAAACACGGGGCAGTCTGATCTGGGGCGCACCAATGACGGCAGCGGCTCGGGCGGCGGCGACTGCCAGCGCGCCCTCGACGTCAACCTCGGAGAAGCATCGACGCGAGTTGTTCAGTGCCACGTTAGGGGCCAGCGTGTTATCGCCGGACTCACCGCCGAGAACGGGCCGCACCGCCGCGGTGATCTGCCTCCTAACATAGTCACTAGCGCCGCGGAGAAGACCGGCGCACGCCAACAGGCTCAGCTGGCAGCGGCCCCCTCGTCTCGCCGACGAAAGGCGTCTTCCCGGCTGGCCAGGAGACGTTGGGTGTCGTCAGAAACCGGCAACGCGCTGCCATGTCCAGTCCAGAAGCGGCGCTCGGGCGCGTGGGCATCAAACACACGCGGTACGTGGAGAATGAGGTACGTGTGCCGCAGTTCGATGCCATCTGCGGCGGGAGACCGGAACAGGGAACGGGAGACCAGTCCAGTCCAGTCCAGACCAGACCAGACCAGACCAGACCAGACCAGACCAGACCAGACCAGACCAGACCGGACCGGACCAGACCAGACCAGACCAGTCCACCGCCGACTGACATCTAAATGTCTGACTGACACCAACAAACTCCTCACTGGGTGGACTCCCTGGACATCCAGCTCAAAACCCAGCACAAAAATGGCCAGGTAATTGTCCCCTCCGACTTGTGACTGTATAACCCTTACTAACACGGGGAATTGAGTGGTTGTAGATTATTGGGCGGTTGTAGCGGGCTGTCATTAGCTGATTTTGGCTAATGACTACTTTAAGCCTTTTCATCTATGATTTTTCCCTACCTCTCACATAACACAATTCCTTCGGGTCTGCTCCACCTCCTCGCCTGTTTTTTTTTTAAGTTTGTTTCATCTTCCTAGCTGGGAGTGCCGCGACTTGATTTTATGTTTTCTGGTGTTAACGTACGGTTTACTGCGTCGCTGGGATTGAGGGAGGGGCACTCCTGGTTACCTGTTCTTGGGTAACGGCGTAGAAAAAAAAAACTGACAGCTGACATGTCCAACTGTTTCCATCTGCGACCCTGTGCAAACAGTGGACGTGAACGGGATCTGCAAGCGCGAAGCAGCGTGCTGGCAAAGTCGCGAGCCCTGAAATGGCATCACTTCACAACAAATCAAATGACAGAATCATCGGCGTTGACGACAATACCGTCCAGAGGGATCCAAACCGCGGAAGTGTAGGGGCAGAGGTGAAAGTCTAGCCAGGTGAGCGCGGGCGATGTTGCCTCGGGTGAATCACAGATCACAGTTCACATCACCTCCGAGAATCACTAATCCGCGATGTTGAGTCAGCACGTGTTGCAGCTCAGAATCGAGATCGTCAAGGTCGGCGGCGAGGCTGACACCAGCGGCGGACGGAAGTCGGCACGTGGGGCTAAGCTTCCCTTGTCCCGTCACTCGCCATCCTGAACCGACAACGACTCGACGTTACTTGACGGATATGAAGTCGGCGCTTTGGGAGCTTTGTAACTCACATCTATCTGACGCTAGCGTTGCGACCCGTCCGCCGCCCAGGCCGCCGCCCCTGCCTGCCCTGGCGAACTGTTAGCCAGTCATCACGATGAGCCGGTTGGGCACGCTCGCGTTAAGTCACGTCTTAGATCAAATAGCCTGTCCGCTGCAGGGCTGCCCGGCTCACGACGGGGAGGCAGGATTTGCGGTAGCAGCGACAGTCTTACAATGTATCCGATGCACTGGAGTGTTACAATGCATTGCGTAACAATCGTAATTTAGATGTTATGCAATGAAGAGCAAGGCTTAATAAGCGCACTCAAGCTGGATTAGGGTGTATTGAGCTGATGTTAGAGACATATTTCAAATGCAATCACAGGCGATAGCATAGCAGCTCAGAAACTGCATGCAGACACTCAAAATTTAAGGTCGTGACCTAGCCAGACATTTGGAAAATCAGTCACTTGCATGGAAGTATCCATTAGTAAAGACTGTTGCAAAATGAAAAAAACGCAATACAGTACGTTTGCGCCAGCCACGGTGCGGCGCAAGCCATGCCTAACATTTGTCTGACTGACCCGACGTGACCTTGAGGCAAGAAAATAGTTGATACTGGTTGCACAGTGCTCTTCCAAATATTTTTCATGTGATGGATCACAATAAAACATTAGCAAGCTTAGGTGACACAAATCCCATATAAGTGCACACATGGGAATGTATATCCGGCTCGTTCTCGGAGAGACTTGGCCTTCACCTTCCAACGAAATTAGACTTGACATCTCCGACGAGTCGAAGTTTGATCGAACTTTGATAACCTGACATTACAAGAATAGTCAGAACAATAGCGATGCACTTTGAATGTCAAAGTTAATGAAAACTGTGAAGAAAACCTCTGGAGTGCATTCCGTGCCAAAAAGTAGTCGTTTGTCCCTTTTAGCAAAGTGTTTCCGGCATTTTTCGAAAGGGAGTTTATAGGTCATAACCAGCGAAGGTCAGAAGCTCCATTTTTACCATCTCATCTAGTCAAAATTTCGACACCATACATGAGGTTCAGGTGCAGTGTGAACCTGAAAAACCACTTCCCCTAATTTCATGGCCACCACGCGGTGTGTATGCACCGATTTTTTTATGAACCGTTCCCATATCACGTGTAAATGTGCTGTAATTTTGCGTTGCGTACATTTTGAAGTTTTCCGCATCTAAGTATCGGCTGCCAGTGCGCCAGGACAGAATTGCATGCTGTTCCAGCCGGGCTGATCCTCGATAGGATGCAGTTTCCTACCTGGGCCGCCACGGCGCCAAAAGCTGCACGCCAGCGGACCGCGCAGTGAGGTCAACAAAACCCGTCTGCAGGCGCCCAGCAGCCGCACACGGCCAGCCGCCAGTCCGCGGCCATGATCACCTCAGTGCGCACCGTCTGCATACTCCTGCAGGTGAGCTGTACGCGTCTGTACGCCGCCACCGCTCAGGCGCTTAGGCGTTTGTGAACCACTGCTTCTTAGGCACCTGGGCGTTTGTGAACTACCGCCGGTTGGCGTTGCGTGCTCACTTTGGTCTCACGGTGTCACGCCACGTGTGGCTGTAACGACCGTGGTCTCAGAACATCCTGCGCTGAGTGGGGTGTGACCACTTAATCCCTTTTATTTCACGTGGCTTCCCCTGCGCAAATCCACGGCTAGGCATTCTGGCAAAGCTTAAAATTGAACAAAGTGGTATTGAGAGAACATGGTTAAGGCAATCTAGCTCCTCAAGGAAAACAGCATGAACGTTTTACGTGGCCTCAAACGATATGCCAGCTCGAAACCTCCTCCACGATAGGCTGAAGGAAGCCTGTCCGTGGATGCTGATGCACTGCTCTACCTATGACAAGTTTCAATCTTGTCATAGGGCTTCGAATATGACCTCGTCGAGAGGATTACCTATGACGAGCTTCAGTCCTGTCCTCGGGCTTCAAATATGAACTCGTCCAGAGGTTACCTATGAAGAGCTTCAGTTTAGTCCTCGGGCTTCGGAGATGAGCTCGTCCACAAAATTGCCTATGACAAGTTTCAGTCTTGTCCCGGGGCTTTGAAGATGAACTCCTCCAGAGTTTACCTATCACGAGCTTCAGTCCTGTCCTCGGGTTTCGAAGATGAACTCCTCCAGAGGTTACCAAGACGAGCTTCAGTCTTGTCCTCGGCTTCGAAGGTGATCTCCTCCCGAGGGTTACATATGACGAGCTTCAGTATCGTCCTCGGGCTTCAAAGATGAACTCGTCCAAAGGATACTTCACTTCTCCCACATGTACGGTGGGATGGCACGAACAAACATATGTCTGTGGCGCACGAATTCGCATGATGCATCACGAAATAAGAAGAGCAGGACTGCATTCCTGAAGGCAAACAAACTTCCGGTAGAGATATCCTGATATCACATGACGAAGGGCCAAAGGATTGGTGGCCAAGATCTCCTGGCAAAATTGGAGGAGATGAAGAAGTTCATTATCACAATCTCTTTAGTACCACGTAACGCATCATTAATGTATTACTTAATGCACTTCACAGTATCTCTTTATGAGCTGTATAGCATCACTATTTAAACTTTGTGGTATCACTATACATTCTTTATAGTGTCACTTTACGAACTTGATAATTTTCCCACGCAAGAACTGGTCTTCCATGGTTGGTGCCGCCAGCTGTCAGAAAGACTTCTGTTTCAACTCTTCTACGAGTTGAAACAGTAAATAAATACCTTCACACGCACTGCCTCGATGGCTGGAGGTAGGCCGTGCCCATGACCATGTCAAAAACGCTTCTAACTTAATATGCACGCTGCAGCACGGACAGTGGCGAATTACTGCCGACCTGGGCACCTGACGGAACCATTTGCCTGTTCCAGGTGCTGGATCTGACATACGGCGCGCCGCGGCCCGCGGCAGCTGACCTGGACACGGCCGAGGCTAACAAGTACTACATCACCGTAGTGCGCCCCTCGGGCCCGGTGCAGCAGCGTAGGAGCGTGCCTAGGGACCGTCAGCTGTACGTCATCACCATCCTGCGGCCGGTATCGCGGCCCACTGCGGCGCCAGAGCCAGCGCCAGAGCCAGCGCCAGCGCCAACGCCAGCGCCAGCGCCAGCGCCAACGCCAGCGCCAGCGCCAACGCCAGCGCCAACACCAACGCCAGCGCCAGAGCCAGAGCCGACGACGCCGCACCGGCTCGGTTTTGTGGGGAGGCCCAGCTGTGCACTCGGCCTGGTTCTCTGCGACCCCAGGTGTTGCATCAGAGTGCCGACCAGTGAACCCTGCCCTCCACGCACTGTCCGGGTGGTCGGCGGCTGCGCGTTTCTCGACTGACACGCACAGAAAGGAGGAG